TTTAGTCTCATCCAGTAGATAGTGAACCTCACATCAAAATATATGAGTCATTTACAGTTGTATATCGAGTACCAAACAATCTGCCTAAAGGCTGCACACGATCACGTCTCTTAGCTATAGCTAATTAATGATGAAAAACCTGACCTGTGTGTGTATACAAAAGAAGCACATTCACTCACTTTGACAACCCTAGCCTACTATATGGACAGCAGCGATATAATCATCCATATTTCCATGTCATATTATACCTTTCTTATTCCTTTAAACCTAATTCACCTTAATCCATTACCTTTATTTATTATGTGTCAACCTTTTGTGATTTATACTAAGCTTATTATGTCTCTAGTATTATTATTATATTTCACAACTTAACCGCTTTATTTAATCACTAAACTTGATATCTGTCAGCTCTTGCTTGAACTTATCTTTAGTGTTCCTCATAATTTGGTATTTGTTTGTATGCATTTTGTGGCAATCATTTTCTTCGCAAACCACTGAATACAACTCACTTCCCATCTCCTTAATGAAACTTATATTCTGTTTAAAACAATTAGTTCCCTTTATGAATTTAGATAAAGCAATAAGAAGACGTAATTTGTCTGAATTGTGTAATGTATTTGCGCGCCAAACACATTTCGAACAATCTGATCATACACGGACTTGTCTAGAGTGAAGAGGTGAGAAAATTGACTTAGGTCAAGTTAAAAGGACATATTCAAGGTCAAAATAACAATGAAGACCATTAAACTAAATAGCAGGGGTGATAGTACATCTGTTATGGTATCAAAACAAAATTTACCAAAGAAGGTTTAATGTGATGACGAATTGTTTTTGAACGCATAAAGGTGGCTTGAACTTTCTAATTGCTAGGGCTTCTACAAACTTTAGGATACGCCCCAAACACGTTTTATAGATAGGTTTAAAAGATCTGTTAACATCAATTTTATGTCCTGTCTCTATAATATGTTTCGCAATAGAGGAGCTAAGTCTCCTGTCCTCACCACTAATGGGGTTCTGAAGATTCTATTTGTTTCTGAAGCCATTTAGGAATATGCTCTGTTGACTATGTATACATTCATATGTAACCGTCCTTGAGTATTCACATTTTTTATTCTTATGTTCAGAATGACTGCACACTTTTTTTATATACGTTCATTTGACAATATTAAATAACGAACTATCACTCCATATTACACATGTAACCCACCAATACAGTTTCCGGTATAATTTTCATATGCCTTTAATGGCTATTTCTATTGTTATTGTCCGATTAAAATCATTTAATATATATTTCATTCCTATTTCTGCAGGAACATACCAATTGTACAGGCGCATGGTTAAGTTATTATATAAATTATACATATTTTGATGGTGTATGGTGAATTTGCAGTTTGGTTGTTCTTTCTGACATCAGAGTCAGTCAGAACAATCTGAGAAATAGTCTGTCTGTGTAACACATAAAGAGATATAGAAAATATTGTATTCGCATTAACAAAAAAAAACCCAGACATCAGATGAATGTAATACCAATATCTGGGGAAAAAAAGCTTGAAGTCAATTCTCCTATGTAATTTTGTTGTGAACAGCATACTTGACTTAAAGTTTATTGATGTATTATGTTGAGATCAGTGATATATTTATTCCATTTTGTCAGCAGTCTTATCGTAGTTTCATAACAGGAAAGAAATATGATCGTGTATGCGAAAACTAGATAAGGTCATGTTGGGTTGTTTTACTGCATCAAATGGTGCCGAGGTCGATTCCAGAACTCTCCATTTGTGCCATTTGTGTTTACATGACTGACTGTACACGTAAGTTGAGTAAGGCATTGAAAACTGTTTGAAAACCAGTTGCTTCTTTATTTCAGATCATGAATACTCTCCTTGTACAGAATGTTGGCCAGAGTCTTCAAATGGTAGCATGGGATCATTCAGGGAATTTGAGTGGTTATGAGACAGTAGCTTGAGTGGAGACATGTGAATTTACTTAAATGGTCTGAAGTTCAGCTTCACTTCAGTTTAAATGTAGGGTTGTTCGACCTCGACCAGAAGGTAAATAGAAGAGTAAGCGCAACAGCAGAATACACTATGGGGATTCTATTTTTAGAAAACCTATACTATTCATAATACACAGTTTGTGACCGAAATGTTTGAAATCGTTAATGGTATCAAGAATAAAAGTGAGCGAATAATGCGGCACGATATTTATTACTGATTAATATGCATAGTCAAGTAGTAGTGACCCAGGTAACAAGATCAAGGTGGTCGAGATCAGACACCAGAAGACTGTTTCTTTTCATTCTCATGGTGTCAACGCTAATTAGTGCGACAATTCGAATTGACTCAGCCCGAGAAAGTGAAATCAATTCAAACTGCACAAAATCTTGCTAGTTGTTGAAGTGAACTAAATATATACATAGAATGCAGTGGCGCTGCGGTAGAGTATAATTTCATATTGGATAAGTTTATATGATATAATACACAGTGATACAGTATTATAATAATTTGCTTTATTCCAAAAACAGTACTAATGATACAGGAAGGAGTTTTCAGCATTCAGTACAATATTGCATCTAATTTACTCAAAAACGACAACAACAACAAAATTAAAAATACACATTACATAATAATAATAATGAAACGTTGTTATAGCAGCTACATAGCAAATTACTGTATTCAATACGGAGAAAAATATGCATAAAATACAAAATTGTAGTAATAATGATAATAAATACTAAAATAGCAAAGTTATAATTAAACGATAGAGAGTGTGACACCATAAAGTTACATAAAGATGAACGATGAAAGGGTCGATTCACTTTGCTAATTACATAGTAACTTAGATGTTTCACGTCTAACAGTGTCTTCATCACATAAAATACGGGCTAAATAGGGTATTGTAGAATTTTTGTACTTAGTGGTTCGAGCATATAACTTCTTATATTGACTTATCGTCCTACCTGATGAGATGCAAGGGGATAGCTGTCAATAAACGGGGTGCAGGGGGTCTGACAGTACGGCCTTTACCCATTTTGTACAGGAATTTATGTGTCTCTCGACTATAGTATTGGCGAGCTCATGCAGTGGCAGACCACAGGCCCTACTCACAGCATTTAATACTCTTCGTAATATGATATAATCTTTTTTGAGAAGCCCAGGAAAGATTAATGGAGAGCAATAGAGTACAATAGGTAAAATACAGGAGTTTAAAAATTGCAAAACTAAAGGTTGGTTGATACCTGATTGTCTCAACTTTTTAATGTAGAAGGTACGACGAAACATTTTCTTAGAGATATATAAGATGTGGGATGACCATAAAAAGTCAGAGGAAAGAACTAATCCAAGATATTTAATGCTTGACTTAATTTCGATTTCCGTGCCATCTATGCTACAGGCATCATGCGAACTAACTAGTTCATGTAAGCCACGTCTATGCTTGAAAGTAAAGTTAACTGCCTGACACTTGGAAGGATTTAACATAAGACCATTTGTTTCTTCTTTATGTAGCAGTACTACAGAGGCTTCGGTTTATATCATTTTCAATACTGCTATTCTTTTTTCCCATAGGTCTCTTCCTACAGTTTCTCGAATAAATCCTTCTGGAAAGTTATTCACTAGTGATGATTTCACTATTTTTCTTTGTTTTCATTAGTGTTGAATCTTCGAACTTACTACTAGTTAAGCCCCTGATCCGATTATGTGGACATCTATGCAGCAAACAATTGAAACGAACCTTCACTGCTTTAACATCCTCCTTATCCGATTGGCCAGATCTACTGATTCAAGTGGAGTTTTCTCTGGCTACTCACAATGATAAATAGTATATACCATGTTGTATGTACACAATATTATCCATAAATTCAGAAAAAAATTACATTACGTTACAAATTAACATAGGGCTTCAGCTGCCCAAGTCTCCAATGCCTTCTGTTTTCTGCCAACTTTTTCACCCCGCTCCAACTCTGCCCACATGCTTTCATCTCCTCTTCACATTACCTCCTCCAAGTCACCCCACCATCGCACTGACAACCAACTCGCCGCTTCCCTTTCGGGTTTCACTCGAGCGATGGCCTGTCTAGTGATGTCACTTGATGGTTTCCTCAGCGTATGGCCAATCCATCTCCATTTCTTCCTGACTATTTGTTTCACAATCAGTTCCTGCTGGGTTGGTTCGCTCATTTCCAGAGATCCCTGTTCTTGATCTTTTCTGACTGGCCAACTGATCTTGAGTATTGAGCGAAGAAGGCAGCTGTTAATGAAGGTCTGTAGTTTGTTTGAGATGCTGTTTATGACGCGCTGGCCAAGCCTCTGATCCGTATAGTGAGTAGCACTGACTGACTCCATATTGGAGTTGAAAATCCGGATGTTATTTTTGATGGTGAGTGGGGCTGTTGACCTCCACACAGGTGTTTTGTACACAGCCCCAGTAATGCCTGAGTTTTATTCCCCTTCACCACTTTTACAAGCATTAAATCAATTAATTTTAGAGGATTGAAAGAAATGTTTGCAACACCACGAAGACTGGAACATACGAGTTTATATATATATATATATATATATATATATATAAACTGGATAAAATTGACCTACATTAAAGAAAATTTTTTAGATAATGGAAACATTTAAGACCAGGAAATTAAAAAAACCTAGAAAAGGAAATGATTATTTCCACTGCCTGCAAAAGCACACTCAAGGTCCTTATTCCTCATTCGCATACAATAAAATCAAAGAACGATGAAATCATAATAATAATAATCAAATGCCATTCAACAGAAAATTTATAAATACAAAAGAATATTTTATGAATACTATTCATAATAATAATAATAATAATAATAATAATAATAATAATCTCATGTACATGCAAGCTTAAAGAATAGAAATTGAATACTACTACTACTACTACTACTAATACTAATGATAATAATAATAATAATAATAATAACTAAAGAGCCAATAAAATGAGACACGCAAATGTATGTTATTACTGTAAATATTTACCTTCACGATCGATTGCCAGTTCTGGATCTTCAGCTACTTCATTCTCTTCTTGAATAGCATCAGTTTGACCCTTTAAAAACAATTCCAATTGCTCTGAAATAATAAAAATAAGAATAATAGTGGGAGGAAATTATAGATTAAGAATGAATAATAAGAGAAAGGATTAAAATAAATAATAAGCCACGCGAATGATAACAGTTACAACAGTTATAATGATAATCATAGTGAAACTCACTCAGAATACAAAAGAAAGGCAATAATTACAAGACTGATTGTCAGAATTAACGGCATGTTCAAGAAGTTAGATAAAACACTACAGGGATACCATATTAGTTTGTTTATTAGATGTATTACACAGTGAAACAGTATCATTTACTGGATGACAAGGTTTTGAACAACATTTATTGTTCATAATCATATCATATCACAATTGAAACGTTATACAGTAAATAACACTGTTTCACTGTGTCATACATCTTATAAACAAATTATTTACCACCACAGTGCCCAAGTTTTATATATATATATATATCATTTAGAGAACCATTGTTAACCAAGGAGTACTGGACAGCTGCTGTTTCATCCTAGTTTGGGAATCATCGGAAGTACGCACCCACCACTTAGGGTTTGAACCCAGGACCTTCCGGTTACAAGGCAAGCTCGTATACTAACCGGCCACTGGGACCCGATTCAATGGCCAGCCCATGAATTCTAACTAATTAGATATCACGTGTGTGCATGGATTTCTCACCAACGACAATGGTTGGGGTCGCACTAAATCACGAATCGGTAGAAGTTAGAATTCATGCACTGGCCTTTGAATCGGGTCCCAGTGGCTGGATGGTATATGAGCTAACTTGCCTTGTAACTGGAAGGTCCTGGGTTCAAACCCCATGTGGTGGGTGCGTACTTCCGATGATTCCCAAACTAGGATGAAATAGCAGCTGTTCAGTACTCCCTGTGGCTGGTTTTCAATAGTTCCCTAACTGATATCGATCCGGGATCAACTCGTGAAAACATAACTAACCCTTATAAACCAAACTATAGAAAACATATATTAATAGGACTTATGGTCTTTCTGTATGAAGACTTATCAATAAACTACAGGGATATATATATGTGTGCATACTTACATCTTTTTCAGGTTAACAATGAAATTGGTCTTATATTTTGTTACAAAAAAGGCGCATCACTTCCTTCACCTGAGTCAATCACTAGACACTGTGATCTACGTGCGTACGCATTTCCGATGACTTAAAGATTATGAGATTCGTGAGGATTTTGAAATAATTTCAATTGTTAGATATTCTTCACGAACCGGTGGGGCCTACTTAGGTCAAGGTCAAGGGGAAGTGGATGCTGAACAAAGACAGGCATTGGAGAGATTGGCGCCATATAGTGGGTTGGCAAAGTTAGAACTCAAAGATCATTCAATACCATCGCAAATGGTCGAATAGTCATTGAGCTTGGTTTTGACAACCTGAAGGCCTCGGGTTCGATCCCTAGTGGGGTCGTAGATGTAAACTGTTGAAGAGTCCTACAACAGGACGAAACACCTATTCAATGCTAACTGGCTTCTAATAATTTCTCTAACTGATGCTGATACGCGACAAGCAAGCATCTAACAATTGAAACTTCTGATGACTATTTGACTTATCAAGAAGTAAACAAGAAGAGACCAAATGATACACAACCCTATCATCGGGAAAATTTACTATACTCGCCTAACGGAGGATGAAAAAATAAGAGAAAAAAAGCGAATCAGGAAAGATTGAGAAAGGAAGCTGAAGTATCTTTTTTTAACAATTATTTTGCAGCAAAACATCAAAAAAAAAAAACAAATTAGAGAAACTGTTATACTGAAATCGATTTTTTCGTTATCACAAATTGTTATTAAGATGTATACATGTATGAGAAAACAAAAGTGTTGCAAAGCTTTAGCTAACTCATCACACAGTTTATGAGTAGATGCAACTAACAAATAATTCGATGAAATTTACATAAATGTAAATAAAAAAAAGAAAATAACAAACATCACATGAGAAATGGTGGCACTGATTGCATAGAAAAGCAAGAAACGTTGATTATAACCATCACTATACCGCTGATTTTAATGGAATTATTAAGATAACTTCATCGAGAGATCCACACGAGAAGTTACCAGGCTTCAAATAAGTATGTATGACCATTACAGAACAGTCAATGATTGATAAGAATACAAGCATTTGGTTGGAGGATTTCATCATGAGCTGACATCAGTTAGAGAACCATTGGAAAAACTGGGTTATAATGGGAAGTTATGACGGGTAGGGTACAGCAGGTTGAAGGTGATGCAGTCACTCATTGAAGAAGACATTTCGAAGTGGTCGCGGTATGTCATGAATCAGCAGAAGTTGTAATTTATATGCTGGCCATTGGATTGGGTCCCAGCTGGCTTAATGATCTACAAGCTAGCTCGCCTTGTAACCAAAAGGTCCTGGGTTCGAAACCTGGCATTGGATGCGTAATGCTGAAGAGTTCCAAACTAGGCTCCCTGTTGCTTTTCCAATGGTTCTTTAACGGATGTCAGCTCATGATGAAATCCTGTGATCAATCAAACAAAGTCCCTGCAAAAAACCAATACTTCAAAATACAAACATTCACATGGCATAATCAACAGCTATATCATGTTGTCGAATGCTAAGCACTTCACAGTAGAAAGCTAACAGAAGGAAGCCTTCACAATGGACACAGGGATAAGAGGCAAGGCTGCCTACTATCAACGACAAACCATGCATGATGAGAAGACAGATACACGGTTAACTGAAAAAAATACCCTAGAAGACTGGGATTTCGTGCATGATTTTTATCGCGTTTTACACAAACATGAAGATACAACAAATGAAAATCAACAAGTCGACAAAAGAGGCAATAAAGATAAGAAAAACCTCAGGTAGTCACAGAGAACACATGAGTAATGGCAATGCCCTACAGCAAACAACAGAAACCAATGACTAACAATGGAGGAGTTTGCAGGAAATCACATCTTCCAACTGTTTGGATAGTGTACTTTTAACTACAAGGCTGCATAGATGAGGATGTCAAAGGAAGGATCAATAAACTAAGACAAACCTTCATTACTCCAAAATTAGTGTGTAGACATAAAGCATTCAGCAAAAAAAAACACGATCCAAATCCTCAGCATTGATATGAGTCAGAGACTTGAAACATCCATCACCAGAAGCTTTTTTCCAACAGGCTAATGAAGATTTTCATTCACACATGCCTTTGCAGCTGACACGATACTGAAGATCTCATGGCCGACTAGAAAGGATAATCAAACCAGCCAAGAAGGTCTTGCAGGAGGAAATGGAGACGAATTGGGAATAGGACTAGGAGACATTATACACCGGGTTCACAAGTAGTCCCCCGGGTGGAGGTGACGGCTTGGGCGTCGTCTGAGAGTAAAACGGAGAAGATCACATGTGAGTAAGACATGAAACATTGTGGACATTTTTGTAGTCGGGTAAATGTGTAGTGGCAGAGAAACGCGTGCAACTGAGAGATTTATCGCTGACACAGGGAATGAATAAAGTTATAATAATAATAATAAATGTCTATCCTACTATCCTGTCATACAGCTATGAATTTTTTTCCAACTATTTTTTCGTGGCATTAATTTGCCGAAGACAATTTTACAACTGAATAATTATTTTTATCACACTAATGCCTTATAGAGGCAGAGTTTATTCGAATTAACGCCTTGCTGTAGATATAAATATATATTTCTTAGTATATTATCAAAGCTATCTAATGGTGTGTTGTTTCACAATAATTATGTGAATTATACATGTATATATACATATACACATATATGAAAATAACGGAATTAATTTTTCGTTTCCTCTTTCTCCCCAAAATGAGTTAAAGCTAATAACTACCTAAATGTATATATACGTGTGTGTGTGTGAGGTATACAGCGACAAAACAGATAGAAGAGAAGAATTTAGTAGAAATGCAGCAAACCGATAGATAAATTTGTCATTATCAGGAAATATATCTTTAAAAGGAAAAACATGAGTTAAAGAAGAAACAAGAAAAAAAAGAGAAAAAAGACATTAGGAATAGAGAAATAAAAGAGGATTAGAAGCAGCGATAAATTTCATGTTAGTTAGCTTCTGTTAACGCTACACAAACACACACACACACATGCATTCTAGAAGGCAATGAATTGAGATTAATATTATCACATTCATATTGCTAGTTATAATCTAAATGAAGTAAACTGTGGCTTATACAGTGAGAATACTATTAGAAATATTTATGTGGTTTTATATGTATATATCCTCCGATGTATTCACTTTGAATACATTTTATGACAGAGAGTTGAACAGAAGTCATTTTCCTCATTCCTCACTCCACTTCAATGAGCCGAAATAGTTTGTCTTCACAAAATGACAAACATGATGTAATAGAAAATTACTTATAAAGGATAGTTTATACATGACTGACTCAGGTATGGGTTATAGTTGTACTCAATAATGTCGTTTTTGAGAACACTAACTATTCATCAAAGGGTAAATATATCTGATTGTTACACAAGATGACAATATCAGCTCTATTTGTTATCATCTCTCGATCAAATTAATGGCAAAACTCAGAATAAACGGATCGTCCATATGACTGAATAGTCAACTGTTTGGCCTCCGCATAACCTGAAGCTTCTGCATCCGATACACCGAGTGAAGTCACATTTGTGTACTGCTGAAGAGTCTGACACTTGGACTGAAGTCAATTAGTAATCTGAGCTGAAATCAATCAAATCTCTGCAAAAACTTTCACAATCCTGCATCTATTCAAAAGCATACATTGATGATAGTTAAGTGAGTTTCTTTGCTGAAACCATAAATTCCAACTTGTCCAAGTGAGTTCCACACACACACACACACACACATAAATTGTATCGATCTAGGAAAGTTATTTGATACAGGATTCTATCATTAGCTGACATTGGTTAGAGAAGCATTGAAAAGCCGACTGGGAGTACTGGGCAGCTGTTTCGTCCTAGTTTCGGACTGTTCATCAGTACTCACCCGCCGGGGTTCGAACCGAGGACCTTCTGGTTACAAGGCTAGCGAGCTCATAGACCATTAAGCCACTGGGACCCGATCCAATGGCCCATGAGTCCCAAGCTAGGACGAAACAGCTGTCCAGTACTCCCATCTGGTTTCCCAATGGTTTTCTAACCAATGTGTCAGCTCATGATGAAATCCTGTAACGAGTCAACCAAATCCCTACAAACCAATACTTGAAAAGTTATTTGTATTTACGAGAAAATGTTATTAATCATTTAACACTGTTGTCACTTTCATCATCAATCATTTCGAACAGGCGGTTTATTTATAATATGTATCCAAGATGTAGAAATGAAAATATGATCCCCTCTCTATTAATAATATATAGTACAATTTATAAGGTAACTACGTTTTTTTTAAAACTATTTCCAATGAATTTCATTCAATTAAAGGTGGACTACAGAAAGAGAACGACGTGATGTTTCGTGTGAAGACAAAAAAGCATCAAAAAATTGTAAAAAACAAAAAGAAGTAGCTAGCTATTGTATATCAACCACAATACACCGTCATATCTGTAGGAGGCGGGGGAAAGATATGAATACTATAAACAATAATATTATTTTAAGAAAGACAGCAGTGACAATCTTTATTTCACCCTATCTCAACTGTACTGTAATTATGTGTGTGGAAAAGTATTTGCAGGGTGAACAGAACAATCACTAAAAAAACCAACACACCATCGTTTCAACTGTAGACTGTACACAGATGAGATTGTCAAAGCCGGTCAGGATGTGAGGAAAATCAAAAACAAACTGAAATCAATGTGCAAAAATCTGCTATACTCAGCATATGGAATAAAATCCGGATTTTTAACACTAGTGTTAGGCTAGTGCTTCTATATGCATCAGAGAGTTAGGGCGTTAGGAAAAGCATTTCCAAAAAGCTGTAGACTTCCGTCCACACCCGCCTCCACTCCATACTGAAACATAAGATGGATGGCGAGGAAGAATTAGCAACAAAGAATTCCAGAAAGCAGAGAACCAACCAACACAACAATAACCTATTGTCCAAAAATATGCCGAAGGAAATAGAGATGACAAACCGATCGAAGAAGCAGTCAGCGAAGACAGGACTCCAGGTGAACATAGACAAGACGGAGGTTATGAAAATAACCAAACAACAACAACAACAACAACAGAAACATCCAGCGCCAATCACCATCACCATCAACGGGAGGGATTTGAAAGAGGTCACTTCATTCACTCACTTATATACGGAGCATTGTCTCAACTACAGACAGTCGGAACGGACGAGGATGTCAAATCGAGCGAGAATCGGGAAGGCGAGAAACACACACACACACACATTCATCAACCTGAAACCAATCTGGAAATCTTCGTCACTCAACTCACCATCAACAACAAAATTCAGTCGGATTTTCAATACAAACAACCTCAAAGTCAGTCAGTTCTTCTATACGGATCAGAAAGTTGGCGGGGGGCGGGTCACAAAGAATATTTCCAACAGCCTGTTGCAGACCAGACCTTTATCAAATAACAACTGTCTTCGCTGGATACATATTGAAGATGAGATGGCAGGGTCGGAAAGAATCGCCAACAAGAAACTATGGGCACCAACAAACAAAAAAAGAACCAATCGCCAACCAACAAATATGCAGGAGAAAGTGGAGATGGATTGGACACTCGTGGCTGGGGAGGCCGGTTGGTGACATCGCGCGCGTGTCAGGCCATTTCTCGAGTGGAACCAGGCCGAAAGGGAGGGAAGCGGCGAGTGGGTCGTCGGTGAAAGGGTGACATGGAGATCGTGTGAAGAGGAGTTGGTACAGTATGGACTAACATGGATTCAGGTGAAAAGTGCAGCAGAAGACGGAAGTGGCAAGTGGAGACGTGGAGTTGAAGCCCTGCGTTCCACTAGAAACCCAAGGGAGCAATAATATAATATGATAAATACAGGTGAATCAAACGCATACTAAGGAGGCTATTGAGTGACATACCGTACCAGGTAGGTCCTTGAGTGGAAGACAAATTGGGCTTGGTAGATAGGGTGATGTGGAGGAGATTGTGTGAAGAGGTGATAAGCGGCCTAGGAAAAATCAGCTAAAGAGTAGAAAATAGGATGAAATAGAGATGTGCTAGTGAAGCCTTCCTTATATTCTACTCGGAAATCAAAAGAAATACCGCATTAGCCTGGTAAGAGTACTATGAAGTGTAAGACCGTCGATAAATATATATACATGTTTAAATTATAGATTGAATAGGTATACACACATCCACTGGGATATGATATGCAGTAAACTTTCCGTATTAGTCCAGATCCCAATTGTTAAGAAAAAAAAATGTGAATAATAATGAATTTCAGCTGTCATATATGTCTTTCTGTTAATTCACGAGTGAAAGCAATAATAAACTTACTGACTTTGCGCAACAACACTAACAGTAATGATAAGAACAATGAATAAATGTATAAATCAAAAGAAATGATGATTGACTGATTGAGCGACTGATCTGTTGAAATATGATTAGAATTTCGTTGTCTAACTACCATACGATTCAAATTTATTTTCCAAAACTGGCAATAAGCAGCATAAAACCATATGTTTGGTTTTAGAGTTGTATGACTTGTCTTCAAAGTTATTGTAGGAGAGTCCTTTCAGATAAACTGTTTTACAAGAGATTTAGGAGTATTTCATTCGCCAGGTTACTTGAGAACTTAAGATATCAAATAAAATGTATCTTTCCTAATGTTTTGTACTCAATGTTGAACGAGTAGAAGTATAAGAAAGAGCATCTATTGAATATATACGACTCAATAGTCAGATTACTCTGAATTGCCTTCACTGACTGACTGGTGAACATCGTTAAAATCTCTTATATAGATATGGTTGAATTTAAAAGTTGACAAAGACAAGGTCACTTCGCTAAACTACTAGGTCTAGACCTAATGTCCAATCAGAGTATCTATTACAGTCCCACACGAGATTAGTCATGAGTTTGAATAGCTCAGTGGTAACATGTCTGACTGAAGTATTGGATAACCTGGGTTCGTATCCCCGAGGAATCCCAGATGAGATCCAACAAGATTGCAGATACGCCCTGTTGAGGAGTATCAACAAACATGAAACCTAGCTGGATCCGAGACCTCCTGTCAATTATCCCAAACCATATAATAACGTATAACAGTGAACCACATTGCAAACTTGACTAACAGAATTCAGTCTGCATCAATACCAAGAAACAAACGCATGAAATCTAAGTAGATCGGTATTTATTTGGATTGAAAGATTTTATATAAATTCATAACATAGGAAGTTTATTTACTAAGCCAACTATAGTTCACCGTATTTTCATAAAAGCAATTTATTCAACAAAAGATATATCATAACCATAAATTTATGATAACAATTTTGAAGAAATCACATTAGTATATGGCACTGTTTTCATCCCAAGCGTTCTTAGTGTAACCATAGAGGTTTAAGCTCTTCTGAAGTTTCAGTAGCTGGAGTGTAGTTTTGACGCAATTGGCTTACTAGCCTAACTAACACTCAGTCTTGCCAGCTTTTCCAGAAAGCTACCGGCTAGGAAACTAAGATGAGGTTTATGAAGTTCCCAGTTGGCCGGGAATCAGACCTGAACCACTTGTGTAACTCTCGAGGACTTTGCTATTGAATCAACAAAGCATAACACATAACATAGTGAAACATCCTTCAAATTCTTACCATGAAACATTGTCTGGTCTACACTAACATAACTTTTCCATACAACACGGATGTTCATCATAAATATATATTTAAAAATTTCCGTTATTCTTCGATAGGGAAAAGATGATTATTATCCCAAAAACTCTATGTACACAGGATTTCACCATGAGCTGAGAGCCATTGGAAAACCAGCTGGGAGTACTGGACAGCTGTTTACTCCCAGTTTGAGACTCTACACAGTACGCACGCAAGGCAAGCTCGTAAGCCATTAAGTCACACTGGGACCCGATCCAACGGCTAATAAATTCCAACTCCTGCCAATTCACGATATAGCGCAACCGCTAGTCAATATCATCGGCGAGTAATTGTCCTCAGACTCGATCTGTTGTGCCCCACTGGTCACGACTTCTCACTACAACCCAGGTGTAACTAGCTATCTGAATAAGGCCACACGCTAGTGAGCAACAGACTGGGCTTCATGGCCTATTGGATTAGGTTCCAGTGGCATTATGGTCTACAAGCCCACTGGCCTGGTAACTGCAAGGTCCTGGGTTTAAACCCTGGCGATGGGTGGGTACTGTTAAGAGTTCTATAGTAGGATGAAGCAGTTCACCAGTTTATCCCAGTCGGTTTTCCAGTGGTTCTCTAGCCGATATCAGCTCATGATGAAGTCTTGTTACCAATTAAAATTCCCACAAACCAAAAAACTTGAATTCTATGTAAAGTTTACTGATTTACTGAGAGAAATGGAGAGAAGGAGGGGGGGGAGAAACTAATTGTGAAACGCTAAACGATCAACAATTGATGGCCGAATTAGTTATTGTTTAACAATTATGGCTAATATGTAGCATCGTAGTGCTATATATATATATATATATATATATATATATATATATGGTGAGAGCAGGCTGCTAGCCAATTGGTAGACATTAATCTACATCAATGTCTAGGTCACTAATATTGGCCGTGAGAAAATATGAACAAGGCTGATTCAAAAACCAATCCCAGCAGACTTAACGTGGGCAAATACGATGCGCAGATAGATGGCTCCACTTTCCGAGAAATATCGGAAACAACCAATCAAGAGACTGCGTTCGTCTCCTTGAATAAGCTATGATAATGTACATGAAATATATATAAATACGTGCTAATTTCCGTAATAAAATGATCTGTTGCCGGCCCTTGTCTTCTGTTGTTACATATATGTCATGATAATTATTTAGAAAATACCCTGAACTTCTTGTTTTTTTTCAAAAATTTAGAAAACGAATAAAAAGAAGTTAAAATATAAAAAATCTTACGTTTCTCAGCTTCAGGTTTTAACCGTTTATTTTTAATGAGAATTTTTCTTTTCAACTTTTCAGGTGGAGGTAACGGTACGCCAGGTTCTAACTAATTTTCAAAAAAGGAAAAAAAATAATACACATGTATAATTGGAGGAGAGAGAGAGAGGTATACAAATTAACGCTTGAGTTAACACTAATTCGATGAAAAGATAAACTCATACACAAACAAATGACTCAATAATGTCACATTATAGATGCATTCACATGTTAAGAAGAAGAAGGGGAGCAACAACAACAACAAATACGAGTTCAAGCGTATATACACTGATAAAAGTCTTATTCATCATTTTAGATCAAAATATTGAAATAAAAAAATAGGTAGGTAACTCCCCGCCCTTGTCGAAATATGTCGGTGGTTTTTTCTCTCTCCTTTCTCCCAAATACTTTTTTTCGATTCAATGAGATTGCAACCTTTTCAACCTTTTCACATTGTTTAACATTGTACTTTGAAAATCTTATAATAATAATAATAACAGGTCATTAACCAACCAACCAACCAGTGGGACAGAATATCTCTAACGCTGACATTTTTTTTAAAGGCATAATTGTATTTCATGTGAAATTACTTAAAATCCTCTCATAGTATGTTTAAAACATCAAAAAACAAGATTTTTCTGAACGTTTCACCGTGTAAGCAACAGTTTCTTTAGCTTTAGGATTACTCCAGGTAATCACACTTCCTTTTTTCTAACCATACTATCTTTTAACGTGTTTAATAGTAATACTAATAGGCATGCTGACGAAATGTCAGCACGGATACAGAGGGTTAGTTTCGCATTTGCCAGTTTACGCCGTCTCTGGCGTAGATGTGATATCCGGCTGACTATCGACCAAAGGGCGTGTGTACTGCTCAACAGTCCGCTCAGTCCTCCTTTATGGTCAGCTGTGAGACCTGGCCACTGACAGTGGAAGACATGAAATGATTAGTTGTCTTTGATCATAGGTGCCTGCGTTCTATCTCCGTGTGAAGTGGCATAACAAGGTGAGCAATATTGAGGTTAGGCATCCATCGAGTGCTAGGTAAGGAGGGGAAATCAATCAACGAGGCTGTGAAGCTACATCGACTGAGATGGTTAGGACATGTGTTACGCGTGCCTAGTCATCGTCTTCCTCGACGGGCAATGTAAGCTGATATAGGGTCAGGCTGGGAGAGAGCTAGTGGCGGTCAAACCAAAACATGGCACCAGTCAATGAAACCTACAACAGTTAGTTTAAGCTAGCCACATAGGAAGGTGTAGACTTCCTGACTGGTTGGGGTCCTCGGGACGGTAAAAGTCAATGACTGGAAACTTTTGGTGATATGTCTCGAAATCGTTCTGAATGTATGGCGAAGATGCATTCACTCCTTTTGACTTATGATTTCCAATGAAACTGTTTTGTTCTTCGTTATTACTATTCATTTTGGGTCACACCTCTCTTTACTGTTTGTAGTATGCATTTCTTCTACTTTCTTCTGTTGCTTTATGTGCAACATGGAGGGATTGTGGCGACTCGAACTGCCGCACATTTGTGCAAAGCTCTATGTCGAAAACAGATAGAGAGATAAACTAATAGCTCTATTCTAAACAATATTTACATAATGTACACTATTTTCAGAGGAGTTAAATGCATGAGATCTTCAAATAGAAGATTAACTGACAGCAGTAGATCGTGTGACACAATTCTATCTGACCAGAAGCGCAAACCGATTCATTATATGATATTTCTTGTTTTTCACCTTCAAGACATACACGACATTTTGTTGAATACAAATGATCAAAACCTCAGAAGTCGATTTTGTTAACTAAGGACACTCCACTTGGAAACACTCATTTCATATATTGGGATAAACTGTCATAGAGGATATTGCTTATTCTGATGTTCAATAGAAACACTGCTAATCAGCAGGTTGTAAATGTTTTTCAAATAATCGCCAGAGTACAAAACACTATAAGAGGGAATATTTTATTAGATTTCAAACAAATTGAATAAGCTAAACTATATGCGCGATACTGATGGAGGTTTTCGCTAGCTCAAGTATCAAGCATGCCGCGTAAAATTAGGCGAAACAGCAAACAATAATCATGATGATGACGATCATTTAGACATCTCGTACAAGTCACTTATCATAAAATGATTACAGTTGTACAAAATCGAAGACTTACAAGCGAAAACTGACCGACAAACTGGTCGAAGAAGCAGTCAGAGAAGACAGGACTCCAGGTGAACATAGACAAGACGGAGGTGATGAAAATAACCAAACAACAACAACAGCAGAAACATCCAGCGTCAATCACCATCACCATCAACTGGAGGGATTTGAAAGAGGTCACTTCATTCACTCACTTATATACGGAGCATTGTCTCAACTACAGACAGTCGGAACGGACGAGGATGTCAAATCGAGCGAGAATCGGGAAGGCGAGAAACACACACACACACACATTCATCAACCTGAAACCAATCTGGAAATCTTCGTCACTCAGCCAGCATCAACAACAAAATTCAGTCGGATTTTCAATACAAACAACCTCAAAGTCAGTCAGTTCTTCTATACGGATCAGAAAGTTGGCGGGGGGCGGGTCACAAAGAATATTTCCAACAGCCTGTTGCAGACCAGACCTTTATCAACAACTGTCTTTGCTGGATACATAATGAAGATCAGATGGCCGGGCCGGGCCGGAAAGAATCGCCAACAAGAAACTATGGGCACCAACAAACAAAAAAAGAACCAATCACCAACCAACAAATATGCAGGAGAAAGTGGAGATGGATTGGACACTCGTGGCTGAGGAGGCCGGCTGGTGACATCGCGCGCGCGTCAGGCCATTTCTCGAGTGGAACCAGGCCGAAAGGGAGGGAAGCGGCGAGTGGGTCGTCGGTGCAAGGGTGACATGGAGGAGATCGTGTGAAGAGGAGTTGGTACAGTATGGACTAACATGGATTCAGGTGAAAAGTACAGCAGAAGGAAGACAGGAGTGGCAAGTGGAGACGTGGAGTTGAAACCCTGTGTTCCACTAGAAACCCAAGGGAACAATAATAATAATATAATGTGGCTGTACGAATAGTAACAACATAGTGTTGATGAATCCCCAGACTAGAGCGAAACAGCTATCCAGTGTTAGTTTTACTTAGTTTTCACTGCTTTATGGAACAATCAGTCAACATTAGAATATTGTATTTGTATTAGGCAAACCCTAACGAAGTGATACTAATAAAACAGAATATCGCTAGAAGGCGAATACTGAAGACACAGGTAAAACAACTACTAATGTTGGATAATCCCTTGTTTCAATTGTTTTCAGCATCATTCTCACCCAGAACTTTTACTACTATTCAGGAAAAGAAAAATAAATTAAAAAAACCTACTAACGAAATGCATAACTTTCTTTGTATTGCAGTTGTGGGATGTGACTTATCAGCTTAGGCAGTCGACATGCAACCACCAATGGGCTCAAAATTTCGAATCATCCCCCTCCCTTTTCACCTACTTCAGTCTGGCTGGTGCCATCATCCTCTTCCCACTGTAAGTAAGGGTTGCGCATAGGTCAGCAAACCGAGTGGTAAATAACGTTCTTACTACCTAACTGAAACCAATATCTTTCGGACCACAAGCTGGAATTCTATGCCCACAACTTTTGTTATTGTTACTGGGATAATCATTATTCACACCCGAAAGAATAATCTCCATAATCCTGACCGATAGATGATACTACCTTGATACTGTCATAACCACACGAGGTATTCTGGTCGGAACCAATGTTCCTGCATGTCTTACCATGCCAGAAAAGTCCTTTGGATAGCGAATAGACTAATAACAGTTACTTATACTGACAGGGGCGTCTGTGAATGAAATCGTACTGCTGGGGAATGAAGATGTAACAGCAGTAAAGTGTTTCCCTCAGATGACCAAAATGTCAGCTATGTCGATTCTCTTCACTCTGGAGATCGGAGTAAAAGGTGGGATTAAAAAAGGTCGACCTCTATAATTTTATATTTCGACTTACGATGAGAAGATTCCTAATCGATCGTCAGTCCTTACTACGGACATAATCATAAAACCGAATTCAAACAGAATGTGTGTGTGTGGCCGGTCTCATTTAGTTATCCCCGAGACTCTGAGGTCATGCAACACTAATTCTCTTCCATGATATGAGCAGCTGGGAAACGGAACAACAACCACCAATACACTTCGAAAAGCACACACAAAACTCTCTTGATTATCATCCACCTTTATCTACTACCTTCCATTCAATATCTTGCTCTCCTCTTTTTGTTTCAATACCAGGGAATATTTTAAGTTATTATTAATCAACATCCTGACTACCTATCACTTTATAATCTATCCACTGATGCATAAATACTATGCATATATATTGTTAACCATAACAACAACGAGAACAAGATAAAGTAATCTAATTAAATTTAAGTTTATCTTATTAAATAAAATGCATAAAAAATTACTTTCTGCACACATAAAAACAAGAAAATAGAAAAAAAGCTACTGTGTAAAACAAAAAAAATTAGAAGACCACCTACTGGAAAATTATCCAAAGGTTTCGTTAGCAGCATATCTCCGAGAATTTCTTCACAATATTTTGCCAATTTGTATTGTTGATGTTTACTATGTGATGAATAATGTTGGAGAAAGTAAGAACAGAAGGTGGAAGAAGAAGAATAAGAGATAAAACATTAAAAAATATTGAAGGTTAATCAAAGTTAATTTTGCAATAGAAGTTTTTTTTTCAATAGTATCTCTCTAATCATTGCTGATTTACATATAATCAAAAACAACACTGAATTCAATTTGAATTTTGTCCGTTAAAGCCAACAAACTAATCTCTGTTTGGTTACAGTAAAACATCACCAACAGGGAGTACTGGACAGCTGTTTCGTCCTAGTTTGGGACTCTTCATCAGTACGCACCCAACTCCGGGGATCGAAACCAGGACATTCTGGTTACAAGGCTAGCGAGCTCGTACACCATTAAGCCACTGGGAACCCGATCCAATGGCCCATGAAATCTCTGTTTACTGTTCATAGATGACCGACTGGCTGACTGTCTGTGAATTATAATTTTTCTGAAGTTCTCCAATTACACGTTGTGGTGAGAATAGTTCATCAAGTCAAACACAATTCAACAAGAGGTGCTCATCGATTACACATTCAGTGACAGTGGCTTCATACTGTACACTAAGAACAAAAGTTGAAAATGATAGATGACTGAATTCGGGCTGATTGTCTGAATGACAGGTACCTACACAAGAAGGAATAATCAGCTTTTAACATATCCTCACGGAATATCGCCGATTATCGCATACTACTACTGGAGATTCTTTCAACTAATATTTTAAGAAACGTTATCGATTTCGCCTTATTTTTCAGTGAGTTCTTTATCTGTTGTCGGTTCATGACAAAACTGGCCAAAAAATATATATGTTACAGCGATTGAAAGCGGTGACTCGTTACCTATGCTGACACAATATCTCCCAACCCATTAACATATATAGACATAAATGCAGTGATGTTCATGTATCTCTTGGAGTTTGAAAAAAAACCAGCCTAAAAATTGAGCAGTAAACATATAAGCTGCTGGAACCCAATAGTGTTTCAGTAATATATATATATATATATATATATATATATATATATATATATATATATATATACTATAACATACCATATATATGATATTATTATACTATATAGGCTTAGAGAAACGTGAAAGCTTTGGGAGAATACCTAGTTTTGTAGGCTACGTGCAATGATGCATAAAGACTGAATTCTAAAGCAACTGAGTGTGTCACAACATTTCACTGGAACTAATCCATGTTGTATTTCTAAAAAGGAGGCGAATATGAAGATTTTGGTAGTTGTGCTGGAGATGTATAGAAGCCTCATGCATTATTCCACAAACCTATAAGAAGATAGTCGTGCATTGAACAAACAGGGAAGACTGATTTCATTAGGACTTTTAAATACACAGAACAGAAATATGTTCTGACTAGCAGGAAAAGTAAGTCAGTAAGCAAGTAGACTCACAGCTTTCTGCCCATTGAAGTGAGGTGTACGCGATGCTACAGCATTGCTACCGTCTAACTCAACTGATATAGATTCTTTTCAGAATACTTAAAGAAACAGACATCGATTAACGTCGACGATTTGAAGACCACATGGACAAAATGGTCAAATATATTTCAAGCTTTACGCATACGTCTGATATCTCATTTTATTATATGCACTCAAACACCAGCAATTGAGAAAAATATGTTGTTGCTTTTTTTTCTAAAGTATAACAGTTTAAATTATCCTATTAAACTCATCATTATAAATTAATTAAATTAATCCCAGCGTGTTAAGAAAATCAAAACAAACAAAATTTTTCTGAACGTTTCACCGTGTAAGTCACAGCTTCTTCAACAGATTTTTCCCGGATTTTTATTAACACGCTGGGATTATAATTTAAATCATTTATAATGAATCAATCTGACACGCCGCTCAAACTATTCCAAAAAGTTCGTAACACCTACGGTCTGGAAACCCATAATCTTATCCTACTAAACATTTCAAGTTGAATGAATTGATAATGATAATAGTTTATTCCAAAACAGTACTTGTGATACAGAATGGAATTCTCAGCATTTTACTACAATACTGCATCCAGTTAGTACATTATCAATAAAGAAAATTCTACATAGATTAAGGAGATCTCAGTTCATTATGACAACAACATATTGGAATGCCGGTAGCAAGGCCAAAAATTTAACAGAGTGTTTTAAGGTGATAGAAAAGTAGATGGTAGCATATTTACTGGCGTAAGCAGAAGAAAGAAACAACGCAGCACATAACAGAGAAAAAATGTGTGTGAGAGAGAGAAAAGGAAACGAAAGAAAGAAAACGTTGTACCTATAAATGATATGAGTTGGAAAGACGAGATCCAGTTGTTCGTTCTACTGACTATTTCATAAGTCATAGGTATCACGCCTAATGCTTTCTTTATCGCACAGAACACGAGCTAAGTAGAGTATGGTTGAGTTTTTGTACTTACTAGTGCGAGCGTGTATAGTTTTCTATATAGGCTTCTGGTTTCTCCTGATGAGATACAAGAGGAGAGTTGTGAATGAAGAGCGTGGGTGATGTGAGTTAGATAGATAGAATGGATTTAGCCCATTTTTCACATGAGTCCATGTGCCTGTCAACCAGAATATTAACAAGCTGGTTAAGTGGCACCCTGTGGCTTACCCTGCTGACAACCTTTAACATTCTGCATAATAAGGTATAGTCTTTCTTCAGTAGCCAGTCCAGGAAAAACTAAGGGAGAACAATGGAGAATAATAGGCAGAATGTGAGAGTTAACGAATTGTAGGAGTAAGGGTTGGGTTATACCAGAATGTCTTAACTTCTTGATGTAGAATGTAAGACGGAATATTTTCATAGAAATCATCAAGATATGAGACGACCAGGAAAGATCAGCAGATTGAATGACGTCTAGATATTTAATTTCTGACTTGGTTTCTATTTCAGTGTCATCTATGTTGCACACCTCGTGAGTGTTAACCAGTTTGTTTAGGTCAGATTTATGCCTAAAGGTGAAATTGACTGTTTGGCATTTAGAGGGATTTAAGGTGAGACCGTTTTTCTTTGGACCATTGCCTGATTTCTGATAAAAAGCCGTTTAGTTTAGTGCAGTCATTTTGACATTTGACAGGCAAAGAGATATAGTTAGGTCGTCAGCATATTTGACAAAATTAATGTCATTTAAAGATGGTAGGTCATGTAGAAAGAAAGAAAGAAAGAAAAGAGAGGTGGGTGGACACCAGCTTCAGTGAGCACAGCAGAGGAGGATTTGCGCTTTTGTATACGGTATACTGCATTCTGTTTGAAAAGTAGGAATTGATGCGATAAGCACTACGAAAAGTATGGTATGTCAACTGTTTTTTAGAGTTTGCTTTTTATTTTCATACACACGACAGGTGTGTGTGTGTGTGTGTGCAGAGAGAGAAATCCGAACATACACAGAAAAAAAGTGGAAATTTTCTCTGCTTTCTTTTTGTCCTTTCCAAAAAGAGAGAAAGAATCAAGCGTGCAAATAACTCGGGTAAATAGGTAAGTAAGCAAACAAGCAAAAACAAAAAGTAGAAAGAAACTGTGATTTACATTTGATGAATAATGAATACTTTAAAGGAAAAAAATATTTGATGTCTTCATTTATTATTATTATTATCGTAGAATGCCTAGGAAAATGCAATCCAACATTCCTTTTGATAGTATGGTATACACCAAGAGAAGGAATAAAGACTACTCTGCTACCCTATTTCAATTTTCATCTGTTCTGTGTATATTACTTATTATTATTTTTTAAACAACTATAAACTGTCAACGTCAAAAGAAGCACATGAGTTGTAAGTGATACTGTGACTTACTTTTATGCTTTTAAAAGCATAAGAATGAATGTATGCATTCTCCAAGAGTACTCAACTTCTTTTTGCTGTAACTGTGTACTACGTGCTGGTCTACTGGCTTTAATTTATAAGAATAATAAAGTTTTTCCATGATTAATGAAAGAATTTTAAATTAATCAGGATATATACAGCACAACCGCTAGGGTTAATGTCCTTGGAAAATATCTCTCTCCTCAAGCGTGACTTGACTTATTGAATAGGAGGATCCAAGTGGATGAATTGTGGTCCACGACTTCGTTGTGTAACCAAGAGATCTTAGATTTGAACATTGACGGGAGCATATTGCTGAAGAGTCTCACAAACTAGAACTTCAATAGTCCTCTAACTGATGTAAGATAGTCATCATATATGTAACCAATGAAATCCCTGAGATCCAACACTTGAGAATTTAATACAGGATTTCATCATGAGCTGACATCAGTTAGAGAACCATTGGAAAACCAACAGGGAGTACTGGACAGCTACCCGTTTCGTCCTAGTTTGGGACACTTCTGCAGTACGCACCCGTCAACGTTCAAATTTAAGATTTCCTGGTTACACAACGAAGCCCTATTCAGGTAGGTAGTTACCTGGGGTTCCAGTGGGAAGCCGTGACCAGTAGGATGCAGCAGGTCGGATGTGAGGACAAGTGCTCGCCGGAGACATCGGCTAGGGGTTGCGCTATATCGTAGATTGGCAGAAGTTAGAATTCATGGGCCATTGGATCGGGTCCCAGTGGCTTAATGGTATACGAGCTCCCTAGCCTTGTAACCAGAAGGTCCTGGGTTTGAAACCCGGTGGGTGAGTACTGATGAAGAGTTCGAAACTAGGACGAAACAGCTGTCCAGTACTCCCAGCTGGTTTTCCAATGGTTCTCTAACTGATGTCAGCTCATGATGAAATCCTGTAACCAATCAACCAAATCCCTACAAACCAATACTTGAATACTTGAGAATTTAAACTGGTCACGTCTCATTTGTATATCCTATGTTGATTATATCGATTAAAACGTCTATCCTATCAAAGAGGATTGCCACAGTAATTAGATATGCCAAAGGTATTTATTTATAACCACGCTAAGAGAAGCACGGATATGCAAAAAATGAATAATCAGGTGTATGCAGGCATTTATTACTAATCACTTGGGTTCTGAGTGTCGCAAATCCTTTTCGTGTCACGCTCT